CCATTTCTGTCTAATTACGTTCCACCAGGAACGGGTAGCTCCCTCCAGTTGGAACACGGCAAAAGTGACCTGCCTTTCGTCAGGGTAGTGTAGGGCCGCGAATATATCAACCATTTTCTCAAGCCACTTCTCAGCAACGTCGGGGTCGGGTCCCCCAATAAACTTTGGCGGGGAAAACTTTTGAAAACGTTCGAGAGCTCTATCCTCGCTCTCGACGTGGTTACCAGGGTTCCCGGGGTTAGGGTTTGGGTTTTGGCCCTGTTGTTGTACTACTTGTGCTAGTAGGTTTGTCATTTGCTGCATAGCGGCAGCTATCTGCACATTGGGGTCTATTTGGAATTCAGGATTGGGTCCAGTAGAGGTTTCCCCCGTTTCCCTAACCGGCGTGGGTTGTCTAGTTCCGCGCCCACGTCCCCGACCACTTCGTGTTCCTTCCATAAGTTTCACTCGGTCTAGGCAAGAATGCTAAACCAAAATAAGCACGATGCATGTAAGTAACACTCAAAACTTTTATGATAACACACATTTATACATTCCAAACCAGATCAACGCATATATACAAGCCGGTCAAAATTAGGCCGCACACATACATACAGCCAGTTAAGTCAAGTACAAACATAGACGATCCACCGAGGAATGGCCTTTCTAGTTCACCAAATCCTTTCTAACCTAGGCCCTCATATCTTTCGTATCCGGGCGCAAGAATCCCATCTAAGATAATTCACAACTCGAGCCGGCCGGTCCCAAGAGTAAACCATCCTTATTAAAGATTCCTACCCGACATACAATACCTAGCTTCCTCGAGTCCTATGATAATGATTCGTACACTTATCACATGCCCGGTTCATAACTTACGCTCAAACGAGCACTTAGACATATTCATGAAATTAGGACCACAACACCACTTGGCCCAGTCTCACTCCGCGCAGAGACCACGGGAAGTGGCTCTGATACCAATTGTAACAGTTCTCAGGGTCACATTACAGGGTACCTATCAGCTTGCCACCCGCACGCGGGCATCCCCTACGGAGAGTTTCGCTTCGTGACTCTTCACGAACGAGAGGCTCGGGGCTTTTCCAGTAAAAGGACGTAGAGTCCCAACCGTCGGCATATGGCTCTGATACCAATTGTAACAGCCCCACTTTCCCCTAAGGCGAACCAAAGGGGTTAGCGGACTGCCTGCCCAGCTCTCGCCAGGACTACGGATCAGATTAGAGCTATCTATTGCGATCCGGAACTTACAAACGAGCGTAAACAGGTCAAAATGGTAAAATAACCCAAAAGAAAAAATGAAATCCGGAGTCGGTCATGAATAGTAACCGATCCGTCAAAACCCAACCGAAAGAGCACGCAAACATTCACATCTGAACTTTAGCGATTACAATCCAAAAGGACATACAAAAGTTTTCAAAAGTTAATACATATACACGGTTTGCCAAATCAAAAGAGAAAACGCCCCAAAAGTATACTTAGGGTTTTAATACATGAGCTATACAAAAGATATGTTCAACTAGCTCAATTTGGCAGCCATTTGTCAAATCCAGACCAAAAGGGCAAAATTTTCCTGTAAGGAAAACAAAAGGAACAGAAAGGGGTGAGCTTGCGCTCAATGAGGTACCAAACAGATAGCATTGAAATCATGGCATTTCACATTTAACAAATCAGACACACATGTCAGATGTAAAGCAAAGGAACCAATGATTCAAATCAGAAGGATACGGGTGGCTCTCAGGAGCCAAATTTCCAGCGCAATACTTGATCCAAACCGGTTGACTCTCCGTCAACGTATATAGAACCAACGCGTCCGTAGACCCCTCTTATCACCGAATTCCGTCCACCAAACACCCCTTTACCGGGCCCGCTCACCTCAAACGAACAAAATGGTAATACTCGAGTATACCGGAATCAAGGGTCTCAATACCCAAAATCCCCGAACAGACTACCGTGGTTCGTTATCTAATCGTCCAGGCCCTTGCCGGCCCGACTCGAATAACTTAGCCACAGGATTGAGCTCATAGGTCATAGAAATCCGAACAGATGCAGACACAGATAACAGATTCAGATACAGATACAGAATAGCAGATTCAGATAGCAGATTCAGACGGCAGATTCAGATAGGCACTCAAAATTGGCATATGGACAGACAAGAGAACGAGTGTGATAAAGTACACCCTCGTCTCAAACAAATTAAACAAATTGCAGAGCAGAAATCAAGTTAAACAGCAATGGAGGGGAGTGGTACACTCACCGGCTCAACTTCAAAAGTTTTCACTTCAGATTGGCCTTAATCGCCAAGAAACCCTAAAATAACCAAAATAAACCAATTGAAGGTTTTACTTCCAGAATCGAGTAAACAGAATGCACATGTGAGGCTCGACTACACGTCGTACGCCTTGCCAAATAAATACTAGTACAAGAATGCAAAAACACGATTCCCTTGGAAACGAAAAGGTAGCATGAAGACCTAGGCGCAAACAACCCAAAAGCCCTTTCATTTCTACCAAAAGGCAAATCCAACTTAAAAGAACCAAACGGCCTAGAAAATCGGGCAGCACTTCCCCTAAATTTCTTACTTTTCCAGCCATTAAGGCTTCATTATTTCCTCAAATCAGCCCCAACATTTCACACCAAAGGTCATCTCATTTCCCAAAAGCCGTACAGGGCTCAAAGTGGTACAAGTACAAAAGTTAGCTAGGAAACAACCAAAATGAAAGCAAGCCCTAAGAGAGACTCGACGACGAGTCATAAAACAATGTTGAACACAACCCCAATAGGGTCTCATATGCATAAATAAGCATGATAGCAAACCAGAATTAGAAATAGCATTAGTCTTGGCCCCAAATAGAAAAACTGTTTTGCCCTTATTTTGCGGTAATGGCGTCAAATTCACTACGATTATCGGATGGGGGTGTAAGACCCACCGTTTAGAATCCAAGAAACATAGCTACAACAATGTAGAAGGTCACTCAATCCAGTTCCTAACACAACTAGGTCAAATATGCAAAATACTATACCAGAATTCCCAAAACAGGTTTGCAAATCACACAAAACTGTAATTACTATAAATCAGTCTATACAAGTCCAAATGCCGAAATTCCAAAGGCATATGATAGCTAAGACATCCAGTAACATTTCATCAGAAGACACCAACTTCAAAATCCAAACCAAATCCAGTCAAAATAGGCAATTACTATCGCGGTTCCGCACATTCTGTTCACCAAAAATAGCAACAGTAAAAACGGCATAACTCTCTCTATACTACTCCAAATGCCCTGAAATTTTGCAGGAACTTCATACTCACAAATACCTACAACTTTCATGTTTTGAGAAAAGTCCAATTCGGCCGCTAGCTATGACCTAAAATTTCGGACAGAATAGGGGTTCATGAACCCTAACTTTTCACAATTCACTTCAAATCCAAAATTGGTTGCATTTATCAACAATTCACACCCACTAGAGTCAAAGCCCCTTATTACCAACCATCAAAAACAACCATACCATCAAAATCATATGAAACCAGAAAATTCATCATAAAATGGAAAATTTCACTAAATCAAGCCAAACCAAGAAATAAATCATATATTCCAACACTCAAGCCACTTCTAAGCATACTATAACCATCATTAGGTGTAGTAGAGGTTCAAGCATCACTTACCAAGTATCAAGAGATGTAGAGAGGTGTTGGCCACCTTAGAGCTTCAAACAAACTTCACTAATACCCTTACTATCACTAGAAGGAAAGATTGTATGGAGTAAAAACTAAGTTAAACACTTGATTTGGTGGATTTGGACAAGTTGGAAGCTTGAAATGTTGAAGAATTTTCTTCCTTCTTGCAAGTGAGAGGTTCGGCCACAATGAGAAGAAAAATGGTGAATTTTGTGATTTTTTTGAGATATATAATCCTTTGGTCAAAAAAGTCAAAAATGTGAATAGTATTTCTTAAGTCAACTCCAATGATCTTGTGACACTTGTCACTATCATAAATGCATTCCTATCCTTTCTTTTCTCTCTCTCATCAATCAAATCTCACTCTCTACTTATCTCTTAACACCCGATAAATTTTTCACAGTATCCGAAACTTAACCTTATTGGCCGAATTTTTCCAAACTTTTCGCACTAGTGGGTCCCACATCCAATAGATAATCTTAATTTTCTAAAAATTCACCAATGCTAGAAAAAACATCTAAAAACTATAATTGCTCATAAAATTCACCAGGAAAATATTTCTAAGCCAGAAAATGCAAAAAATTATGTAATTAAGGGGTAATAAACCCTAGGAAAAATATTAGGGTTTTACGGGTTCTCACAACACTAGTATAGGTCATAGCATTTTGTCTAGCTAGATGGCCTACTTTTGAGGCACTATGTCCCTATTTTTGGTTTAAGGGATTGTTTGTACATATTCGTTCAACTTGTGTGCCATACTTTTGGAAGGCACCCTAACCTGTTATTTGTATGAACTTTGGTATGTGAATACATGCGTTAAGTGTTTTATTTTACTTTCCTTGATATTCGTGTTGATTTTACTTACAAAAGAAAAAAATATATAATAATAATAATAGTAATAAGTAAGTAAATAACAATATCTTCGCTTAATGACTTCATTTATATCGATAGGCATAACTAGGCTATGGATCGACGAGTTAGAGGTAGAGAACGTGGGAGATCAACTAGACAACACCCCGAGGGTGGTGGTGATAGGGAACCTGAGGTCAATCAAGACCATGGTCAGGGAAACGTGAAAAAAAAATATAATAATAATAATAGTAATAAGTAAGTAAATAACAATATCTTCGCTTAATGACTTCATTTATATCGATAGGCATAACTAGGCTATGGATCGACGAGTTAGAGGTAGAGAACGTGGGAGATCAACTAGACAACACCCCGAGGGTGGTGGTGATAGGGAACCTGAGGTCAATCAAGACCATGGTCAGGGAAACGTGGCTGGAGACCCAGTGCCACCGCAATCAATAGAATAACCGATGTTCTAGAGCGCATGACTGAGCACCAAGCCCCGGGGGCAGTGCATCATCAAGGAGGCCCCATTGATACTGAGGAACAGGCATTAGAGAGATTCTTGAAGTTTGGACCTCCTAAGTTCTATGGAGGCCCAGAACCTAAGGTAGCAGAAGGTTGGTGGAAGAGGATCTCTGACATTTTTGCAGCTTTAAATTATACGGAGGAGAGACAAGTGACTTTTGCAGCATTCCAGTTTGAGGGAGCTACTCGTTCCTGGTGGAACCTAATTAAGGTCAATTGGGATAGGAACCATATTCCTAGGACCTGGACGAACTTCACTCGGGAGTTCAACGCCAAGTTTTTACCCCCTCTCATCCAAGAGAAAATAGAGGATGATTTTATCAAGTGTAGGCAGGGGGCGGTGAGTGTCGCCGAATATGAGATCCAATTCATGAAATTGTCCCGTTTTGCTCCTGAATTGGTAGCCACGGAACAAAGGCGTGTAAGGAGGTTTATGCAGGGACTAAACGTGAAAATCCAGGAGGGATTAGCTGCTGTTCAGATAGACACGTTTGCTGATGATGTTGAGAGAGCTTAGAGGGTTGAAGTTGCTAGAGCTCAAGTAAAATCCTTCCAGGCCAAGAAAAGATTTGGCCTAGCAGCAGTCAGGAGCCGACTTATGCAAATGCTCCACCGGTTAAAGTGGGTCGAGGAACGGGTGGAGTAAATAGTCCTGGAGCACCACGAGGCGCTCTAGCGAGAGGAACTGGGGCAAGAGGTGCAGGGGGTAGAGATATCGGAGCTAGAAGAGGACCAAGTAGAAGGAGTCAAACTAGGAACCGCAAGGAGGTCGTGCGACCACCCCTCAGGGAACTTGTGGGTATTGCAGGAGGGCTGGCCATACTGAGGACAGATGCTGGAGGAAAGAAGGAAAGTGCTTGAAGTACGGAAGCAGTGAGCACCAGATTTTCGGTTGTCCAAAAATACAAGAAGGTGGTACTCCGAGTGCTAGGCAAGCTACTTCTTGAGGAAATAGGACCAAAGTTCCGGCCAGGGTGTACGTTATAGACGATCAACCCGTACCTGATTCCTCGGAGTCGTGGAATGTACTCTTCCAATCTTTCATCGATTAGCTAGAGTACTAATTGATCCTGGCGCAACTCACTCGTTTGTGAATCTAATTTTTATGTCCGGAATTAATGTACAACCTGTTAAATTACCCTTCGATCTTGAAGTTAGGACACCTATGGGTAATAGGAGTATAATCACTAGCCTGGCCTATAAGAACTGCGAATTCTGGGTTGGAGAGCGTAAGATACTAGTAGACCTAGTCAGTTTGGACATAAAAGGGTATGATGTTATCATAGGAATGGATTTCCTAGCTCATTACCATGCTAAGCTTGATTGTAGAGTAAAAGTGGTAGAATTTTGGATTCCTGGGAAAGCAACCCTGAAATTGGATGTGAAAGGTAGGTTAGCATCATCCGCCATGATTTCGGGAGTTCGGGCAAGAAAAATGTTGTATAAAGGAGCGCAAGGTTTCTTAGCTTTCCTAATTAACGCTTCCAGTGACCAAGTGAAGTTGGAGGATGTACCAGTGATAAGGGAATTTCCAGATGTGTTTCCCGAAGAATTAAAAACATTACCTCCGGAGAAAGAAGTGGAGTTTAAGATTGAACTAGTGCCGGGAATGGCCCCGATTTCTAAGACTCTGTACCGAATGGCTCCCGCTGAACTAAAAGAATTGAAAATACAATTACAGGATCTATTGGAGAGAGGTTTTGTTAGAGAAAGTGATTCGCCATGGGGCGCACCTGTTCTATTTGTTAAGAAAAAGGATGGAAGTTTGAGGTTGTGTATTGATTATCGAGGATTAAATGAGGGTACAATTAAAAATAAATACCCTCTACCATTGATTGACAGCTTATTTGATCAGCTGCAAGGATCAGTAGTTTTCTCCAAACTGGACTTAAGGCAAGGATATTATCAGTTGAAAATTAAGAAGGAAGACATACCTAAGACTGCTTTCAATACAAGATATGGACATTTTGAGTTCCCAGTCATGCCATTTGGGTTAACCAATGCACCAGCTGCTTTCATGGACTTAATGCAGAGAGTCTTTAAAAAGTACTTGGATCAGTTCGTAGTAGTCTTTATTGATGATATCCTAGTATATTCTAGGACACAAGCAGAACATGCTGAACACTTGGAGATAGTTCTGCAGATCTTAAGAGAGCATAAATTGTATGCTAAATTTAGCAAGTGTGAGTTTTGGCTGGATGAAATTTCTTTTCTAGGGCATAAAGTTTCTAAAGATGGGATTGCCGTGGATCCGGCAAAAGTTGAGGCGGTCACAATGTGGAAACAACCAGAAACTCCAACAGAGGTTAGAAGTTTCTTGGGTCTAGCAGGTTATTACAGGCGATTCATCAAGGACTTTTCAAGGATTGCTGAACCTATGACAGAGCTAACAAAGAAAAATAATAAGTTCATCTGGACTCCAAAGTGCGAGTTAAGCTTTCAAGAGTTAAAGAAGCGCTTAACATCAGCTCCTGTTTTAGCGTTGCCTGACGGAGTAGAAGGTTATGTCGTATACTCTGATGCCTCTAGGGAAGGTCTAGGATGCGTACTAATGCAAAAGGGTAAAGTGGTTGCCTATGCCTCTAGAAAATTGAAGCCTCACGAACAAAATTACCCAACGCATGACCTAGAACTGGCCGCAGTGGTTTTTGCCTTAAAGAAATGGAGACATTACTTGTACGGTGTGACCTTTGAAGTTTATACGGACCACAAGAGCCTTAAGTACTTGTTTTCCCAAAAGGAATTGAATTTGAGACAAAGGCGATGGGTAGAATTTTTGGAGGATTATGATTGTTCAATAAACTACCACCCAGGAAAAGCCAACATGGTGGCAGACACTCTAAGTAGAAAGGCCCATGTAGCAGGGTTAATGGTAAAAGAATGGGATATGTTAGAAGAGGTTAGTATTTGGAACCCTCGTTTGGAGAGATTGAAGATTTTATTTGGGAACCTGACGTTGAAATCACCGTTGATGGAGCGTATTAAAGAGGCACAGAAAACGGACCCCACGATCCAGAAAAGGTTGGAGAAAGTGCAAAACGGAGAAAACCTAGATTTTAAACTAGGGTTTGAAGGAGAGTTAAGGTTTCAAGATCGAAATGTGGTTCCAGTTGATGAAGAATTAAGGAAAGAAATTCTAGAAGAATCGCATCGATCGAGGTATACTATACACCCAGGAGTGAACAAAATGTATCATGATGTGAAGGAATCATACTGGTGGGACGGTTTGAAAAAGGACGTGGCAAGGTTTGTACAAAAATGTCTGATATGCCAACAAGTAAAAGCTCAACATCAGAAACCCTCTGGTCTATTGCAGCCACTAGAAATCCCTGAATGGAAGTGGGACCACATAACCATGGATTTGTAACGGGGTTGCCTCAAAGTCAAAAAGGATTTGATGCGGTTTGGGTAGTAGTTGATAGGCTTACCAAGTCCGCACATTTTCTACCTGTGAGTATGAGCTTTCCTTTGAAAAAATTGACCAAGTTGTACATAGAAGAGATCATGAGATTGCATGGTGTTCCTATAAGCATTGTGTCCGATCGTGATCCAAGGTTTGTCTCGCGTTTTTGGCAGAAATTTCAAGAGACATTGGGGAACAAGTTGAAGTTTAGTACCGCTTATCATCCCCAAACAGACGGGCAGTCGGAAAGGACAATTCAGACTTTGGAGGATATGCTGAGGTCGTGTATATTGGATTTTGGAGGTAAATGGAGTCAGTATATGGCCTTAGTAGAATTTGTTTATAATAACAGCTATCACGCTTCAATTCAAATGGCACCTTATGAGGCATTGTATGGGAGAAGGTGTGGATCTCCGATTCATTGGAATGAAATAGGAGAGAAGAAAATTCTAGATCCGACGGTTATACCTTGGATGGAAGAAGCTCATGAGAAAGTGAAAGTAATTAGGGAAAGGCTTCAAACTGCCCAGAGTCGACAAAAGAGCTACGCCGACACAAGGAGGAAAGATCTGGAATTTAAAGTAGGAGACAAAGTTTTCCTAAGAGTTAAACCCGTGAAGGGCGGAGTAGTGTCCAAAAAGGGTAAAAAGCTAAAGCCGAGGTATATTGGACCTTTTGAAATTTTGAAACGAATCGGTAAAGTAGCATATCAGTTGAGGTTGCCTACAAGCATGGTCAAGATTCACAATGTATTTCATGTTTCTATGCTCAAGAAATATCACCCCGACCCAAGCCATGTGTTGCAATTGGAAGGAATTGAAGTGGATGAGTCGTTAACTTATGAGGAAGGACCAGTTAGGATTTTGGAAAGAGAAGTAAAAGAATTGAGAAGTAAGAAAATTCCTTTGGTGAAAATTCTATGGAAAAATCATGGAATAGAGGAAGCAACTTGGGAACTGGAAGAAGATATGCAGAAGAAATACCCTGAACTATTTTATTAGAAGGTGAGAATTTTGAGGACAAAATTCATTTAAGGGGGGGAGGATGTGAGAACCTTCAAAAAAAAAATAATATATACACATTGCATTTGCATTTTAGACTCTTAATAACCGTTACTATTGATTGGTTTTTAAATAAGTATGTGACCATAATTTTTATATATAAATAAGTTAATTGTGCAAATATTAAGTTACTTGAATCTTGCTAAGTTAAATTAATATTTCATGATGTAGAGTATTTTATTGCTTTAATAATAATTCCTTGAGTTTCAATAGCTAATTTTAAGTGTTAATAACGTTAGGTGTTAACGGAAACCTAGAATTAAGACGGAAATGACTTAGGTCAAAAACCTTATAATTATATTTAGGACGTTGAATCTCGATAATTTAATTTTGCGAGACTAGTGTGCTAGTAGGCTATCGAATTTCATTTGAGGTAAAATCTTGGAGTTAAGTTACGAATGAGGAATCTAAGTGGATGGTCGAACAAGATGTTAAAAGTCCAAATTAGCCCTCCTCCATTTCAAATTAACCATGCAGCCATGGAACCTTCTAGAACAAGCTCCAAATACAAACATTTCTAGTATGCCGGACTCATTCTTTACACTTAGCATTTCCATTCTAGCCGGTTCCATTTCCTTTTATCTACTCCACCATTCCACCAACCATAATGCCGGCTCACACCCCACTATCATACTCCACTATATCAACTGCATTCCACCACAACAACACTCAAATTCTATTCCTTCCTCCTGCCGTGAGCCGAGAGTGGAGTGAGAGAGAGAGGGAGCCGAGTCCTTCATTTTCCTTTCTTCCTGTCCGCAAGCTATAAAAAAAAAAAAGAGACCTGCTGTTCTGAATTCCTTCCATCCGTGAGCTGGTGAGGAGATTGAGTGCCAAACTTCCTCCATTCTAGTCGCAAGCTTGAGCAAGGGAGAGGGAGAGCTAGCGGGCTGCATGTTGGACTGCCGAGAGAAGAGAAATATTTCAGCTGCTAGTTGCGTGAGTTGAGCTTCCAGTTGAGGTAATTTCTGGACCTAGACTAGTTGATTAGAGGTAGATGATGTTGATTATAAGCATGCATGTGAGAGTTGTGCGGTTGGATGAAGAATTAGG